TTGGATCTCAAGATCATCCAGTCCAAGAAGGGATCAGCTGCAACAGGTTATCCAGGAGCATGTGCAGGTGGGTTTTACATGCCAGTCTCTCCAGCCAACCTGTTCCAGGGGTCAGCTAAACAAAAATCCCAAGAGGGGGGGGTTTGTTCTGTTTCCCACGTTCAGACAGGGTTTCCTGTATTCCACTTTGTGCCCGTTGTGTCTCGTCCTGTCCTGGCCCCCCCAGGAGAGCCTGGTTGTCTTCACTCCTTCCCAGCAGGTGTTTATCCACAACAACATCCCTTGGGGGCTTCTCTCTGTGCAGCCTCAGCCCCTGTGTGATCCTCCCCACAGTACAGATGCTCCAGTCCTTTCACTGCACTCTCTCCACCAAGTCCATGGATGTTTTTGTCCTGTGGCCTCACATGACAATTCACCTGACTGTGAAAAGTGCCCACCCTGATTCACAGAGACCCAGTGGTGGGAACAGCCTTAAACACAAATATTTTGCAAAGAAAGCATAAATATTTTCACTCAAGACAGCACGAAAAAGGCAATTCTGGACCAGTGAAACCAGGCAAGAGTTTCTCTCTGGGCATTCTGTGCTGGCCAGCAACGACCTCACAAGGTGAGGGCTGTTTGTTTGAACCCAAAATAAGCCAAATGGGCTCCCCATTCTAAGGAATTAACCATTCCAACGGATTCCCAAAATATTTTCCACGTCATTCCACCAAGACAGTAATAAATCAAGCACCTCCCAGTTCTCCCAACACATCCAGGGATCTCTGTCTGCCTTGTCACAAGATCCAGGATGCAAATAGATGATGGATCAACCACAGCACGTCTCACATTACTGTCTCCAGCCTAAACTTAATTTTCTTGCATCAGATTCACAGATTTAGGGCTTTACCCCTGCCATTACACAGGGCAGCAAATTCAAGAGTCAAAGCCTGTAACAGGGCCCAAGAAAATGCTCTCATGAAGCTGTCAGGTGGCCCTGAGCATCTTCACACACATCATCATCTGCCCTGGACACCTCCACGTGCTTTGGCACAAGATTTCTCATGGCACTTTTCTCTCTTTTACCCTTTGCATCATCTCAGGGCTAGTGGAAGCTACTGGACTTTAAGCTATTATTTTAATCTGAAGCTTCTCCTTGATTTCTCTCTGTTTTTCCTCCACTGCAAACCAAACCCTGGGTCCAATCTCCCCAGCGCTGTGCCGTGCCCGCCCTGCTTTGCCATTTGGCTCTCCCGGTCACTTCAAAAGGCATCGCCCCTAATGAGCAGCTGCATTTCAACACCGGGAGCTGAAAGGGCACAATGGCCCCGCCGCCAAACCCACCTCATTTACATCCCTTTGCAGCGGCACCGAGGGCTTTCCACCGCCCTAATGGGTTTTCCTAAACAAAAGGAGCCGCAGCCAGCACGCATCTGACCTTCAAATTTGCTTCTGTGATTTTTACGGCTCAAAGTCTATTTGCCTGGTGGCTCTTTTTTTTTTTTTTTTTTTTTTTTCCCCCCACCCCCCCTCTCCCTCCGGGACTGTTGTGATGAAAAGCGGTACATTAATTCCTAGGAAAACATGCGCAAAGGGCCCATCCAGGAGAGTGGAGATGCCTGGGAGCTGTAGTTCCCTTCGCAGACACACCCTCGGCCAAGTTGTTCCCATTCTCCCCTTTTTGTTTGTCTGACACAAAGCAAGACAAACAAGCACCGCAATTTTGCTTCCTCGCTGTTTTCCAACTTTTATCGCCACAGTTGAGTCGCTTTGCTTATTTTCTCTCGCATCTCCGATCTCTGTGAAGGTACAACATTGGGAAGGCGACAAAGATGCCTTCTCCTCACTGCACCTGAAAAACAGTCATAACCCCTACTTGAATTCTTCTGATGTTCCCTGGGTGAAAGCCACGACACTTCCAATGAAGACAAATTCTCCCAGCCTGCTCCCAGAGGCATCTTGGGAACTCCATCATGTCTGGTTTACTATTTGCACGTTGGGAGTTCAGAGCACGCCAGAATTGTCATTGATAGATCCAGCCACAGTGGAATGGAACAGCCCTGCAAACCAAACACCACACGGGAAAACCTACCCCCAAAAAAATGGAATTTGCATTCTCTATATAAACAGCGTCACCAGGGGTGTTCAATAATGAGGATAAAACGCAGGATGGCCTTGGAACTGAGAAAATAAAATGTGCTTTTGTCTCTCACCGAAGCAATCTCCCTGTGCCTCGCAGACTGATGGCAGCAGATGCAGGATCCCCTCCTCCTCCCCCAGCAATTGGTTCTGCTTCCCTAGCAGCCAGCGGAGGAAATCCATGGCATTACCCCCCTCCCAACCCTCAAACAAACAAGCAACCCCTCCCCACCCACCCACACAAAAACCGCACCAGTCTCCATCAACAAGGATCCAATCACTTAAACCCCGTGGCAGGAAAGTCTATCGTTAAAATTTATGATTCTGGAGATGAGCCAAGAAAAGTGAAGGCAATTCCAGCCTGGAGAGCAGCCACAATCTTTAACACTTAAAACTGGGTATTCCTTAAATTGCTAATATATTAAATGTCTTTAAAAAACCCACAACAAACAGCAACAACAAAACAAACGACAAAAAAACAACCCACTAAAAAAACCCCAACAGTCAAGTCAGGAATTTTCAGGTTCAGAGGATAACGTTTATACATAATACTCTATTATTTAAGAAACCAGTTCTCAGGATGTACATGAAAGGAGATGAGCCATCTGCTGTGTCTGTAAATCAGCCCCGAAATTATCACGGAATATTTTAATTTAACCGCAGACTAAATAAATCATCACTATCTCAGGCCACGGGGATACATACAAACCATGGAATTATCCTAAAAGACATAAAGGCACACTTTTGTTCTGCACCCAGCCCACAACTGTGGCTCAGACAACACGCTCTTCAGGGATTCCTCACTACAGCCATCGACTGCTGCCTCCTCTGACATTTTGGCTGTAGTTGGGGTTTCTTTATGAGCACAATTAGAGCTGCTCCCCCTGTTCACTGACACCTCCTCCTACAGCACAACCAAAGCAAAGCCCTTTCTCCCCCATCACAGCCCAGTGAGATCAGCTGGGCAAAAAAAGGCACCCAGAGCATCCTTGAGGGTGGAAAGCAGAGCTGGAGTGCTGGGTGCTGCTCTCACCATAAACACTGCTGCTGCTTTGTTCTAGCTTTTTAATATTTTATTTGGTTTTTGTGTTCTCCATTTTATGCTGATTTAACAGTTCCAGCTGTGCAGCTCCCTAGGCACTCTGCATATTCATAATTATTATTATTGGATAAACATGTATTTGAGTGGGGCAACAGATGATATGCAGATAATTTTTCTTTTGCTTACTCCTATTTATTTCCCCGGGTAAAAAAAAAATTGCTTTATTCTCCCCTCCCACAGCCGAGAAAGCCTGTGTGGATGTGTCAGGGAGGCGAGGGCTGTGCAATCACAGATCGTAGTCTGGCATCTCCGAACGGGTGAGATCAGGAATGTGCAGGGATGGGGACGGGAGGGTGTGGCCGAGCCAGATGCAGAGCTGGATATGGGGAAGAACTGCTGCAAACGGGCACACAACCCCCTTTATCTGTCATACAGCCCCTCTAATAAGCAGCAATTTTTTTTTTTTTTTTTTAATTAAAGGGAAGCTCCACAGCAGCCCGGGAGGGCTGTGCATCGCTGAGGATGGGTGCTGTGCCCACGTTAAACAGGTGGCTCGGGTTTAGAGCGCACCGGTGGCGATGGTCCATCGGCACGGGGGCTGGGATGGAGCCGCACGGCAGCGATCGCTACTACGGGAGTAGAGGGAGCCACGGCAGAAGGGATCGCTCAGGGAGAGGAAGAATCCTCGGCGAGGGGAGCGATGGAGGGAAAAGAAGCGCTGAGGGAAGGGGCGAGGAGAAGCCGGGCAGCGAGGGCTGGCGAATGAGCAGCGCTGGGTACACGGCAAGGGCACAACAACAGGCACGGGGCACCCCGGGACGGCGGGGACCCCGCAGGGCACCGGGGATCACAGGCAGAGCTGGGGGGCAGCTCCACAACGAGCCCAGAGGGGCTGCGGGGCACAGACGCGATTTTTGAAGGGGCGATGGGCACAGACAACCCGTGCGGGTGCTTCAGGCCAGGCCGGGTGCGGGGTGGGGCGGAGGAAGGGGCTGACGAGCTGCAGGACAGCACAGGGGGGGAAAAGCGCTGGCAGAGGCAGGAACGGGCGCAGAAGGGCTGTGGGAACACTCCCTGGCGAGGGCGGACAGCGCGGAGCGCGGGGCTCGGGGAGCGATGGATGAATGGACGGACGGACGGATGGATGGATGGATGGACGGACGGATGCCCCAGGGATGCATCCCGGCGGACGGACGCGCCGGGGCGGGGCCGGCGCAGGTGTGGCGGCTCCCCAGCCCACCTGCCGCTGCCGGGGCGGTACCGGCGGCTCCCGAGCGGCCACCGGCGGGGCCCCCGCGCCCATCGGCCGGGCCCCCGCCGCTCGCGCCCAGCTGCCGCTCCACAACGGCGGCGCCCGCGCCCCTCCTTCCTTTCTTTCTTTCTTTTTTTTTTTCCTTTCCCCTTATTCCTTTTTTCCCCCCCGCCGCTATTATTCCAGCCGCTCAATTCCCTCTCCCCCCCGCCCTTCCCGCATCCACCGCATCCCCTCCCTGCGCCGCGCTCTCCCGGGCGGGAGGGGCGGCTCGGAGCATCCTCGACATCCACAATGAACCCGGCGCGACAACGACACAACGACACCACCGCACCGCCACCGCCGCCTCCTCCTCCTCCTCCTCCTCCCGCCGAGCGCCGCGAGCAGCCAAGGGCGCCCGCAGCATCCCCCCCGCTCCATTGTGTGCGCTCCCGGCGGAGCTGCGCTCCCGCTCGCAGCCCCCCTCCTGTCACAGCCCCGCAGCCAGCCCCGCACCCGGCCCCGCAGCCGGCGGGCAGAGCGCGGTGCGGGGCGAGGGGGAACACCCGACCCCGTCCCATTGTTCGCCCCGCGCCGCCGCCCCGTTACCTGCGGCTCCCAGCAACGCCAAGGTCCAGGGCAGCGCGGCGAGGCGCAGCATGGCAGCGGGCGGCGGGCGGGCGGCCCGGAGCGGCCGTTTCCCCGCGGTCGGACGAGGCGGCGGAGCCGAGCGCGGCGCGTCCCTGCCCGTGCCTGCCCTGCCCGTGCCGTGCCCGCTGTCCCTGCCCGTCCCTGCCCGTCCCTCCCGCGCCGCCTCAGCCGCTGCGCCCGCCGCGGCCCCGCGCCCACTGACAGCGCCCGCGCCGATCCCTCCGCCAGCGCCCCCGCGCCGTGTCCTTCCGCCCGCGAGAAATAGTGCCCCTGCGCGGGGGGGAGGGGGCGAGGCGGGGAGGGGGACACCCCCCAACACACCCCGCGGGGAGAGAGAGGGGTGGGGGGATGCACGGCTGGGGCGGCCGGAGCGGGAGGAGAAACGGCGGGGATCGCAGGGACGCTCGCACTCGATAATAATAATAAATAAACAAACAAAGATAGGTAAATAAGCAAATAACTATCAATAAACAAATAAAACGCTACTACTGTTTATTATTATTACCATCGCCCTTATCATGATTATTAAATAACGTGAACATCGTACATAACATACAAAAGCACATATATAACATATATAATACATATAATACATTATAGTATATATAGTATATATATACTATATATAATTATAGTATATAATTATAGTATATATAATATATATTATATATAATGGATAAAGTATGCAATGTATAATACTATATATAATAATCATATTAATGATGTATTAATAAAATTATATATACTATAATATATATTATTATCTATAACTTATAATATATAATTATATAATTATAACTATATAATTATATAGAACATATTATTAACATATTACATATCAATAGTATATGGCAATATATAACTATATAATATATAACACTATATATAATATACTATAATATATATAATTATATATAGTATATAATATATTTACATATATGTAATATATCAATAGTCTATATATCAATATAAAACATATCTAATATATATTATATATTAGATACTTTATGTATCCTACATAATATTACATATACTATATGCTATATATCAATAGTATATATCAATATATAAAGATATCATACATATAATATCATATATATTAGATACTTTATATATCTTATATAATTATACATACTATATGTTATATGTCAGTAGTATATATCAATGTATAACATATATATCATATATATATTATATATTAGACACTTTAACCATTGATTTCCAGAAGGGTTTGGGTTGGAAGAGACCTCAAATCTCAGCCCTCCTTACCTGAGCACGGCACTGACCTGCTTTGGGTTCTGTGCTCTGAGGGGAAAAAAGTTCCCAGGGGGAAATAAAAAAAATGGAGCATTTATTTCATTCAGGTGTAGCCTAAAGTCTGTGTTTTCATTTCATTTGTATTGCAGAACAGCACTTCAGCTCAAGTGGACCTTTGTCATGCTAAATAATTTGGCTTAGTTGGTTAATTGTAGTTTCTATTTTAAAGTGAAATTCAAAATACCTGGAGTGGTTGTGAGCACATAAGGACTTGTAATGACACAAAGGCTTTATTAGCAGAGAACTGATGAGGATAAACCATTTAGGCAGAAGATGCTTCCCTAGATAAAGGAACAATGCTCTTTGAGTACAACTTGACACCACTATTTCAACAATATTTTAATGCAGCACATCCACTCCAGGATTTTGCTGTCAGTGCTCTGAAGGATCATTCCAGGCCAGATCACATTCTTTTATTTTGTTCCTTTCTGTCGGAGAAATCCCTTCCCCCCCCACCTTTCCAGTTCATAAAAAAAAAAAATCCTCCTCTAAAAGGAACAACAATATCACTTATTGCACTGTGATTGAAAACACACCTTCCCTGCTGCCCGGGCCAGGCAGGCCCAGGGCCTCATCTTGGACTGATTATCTGCAGAGAGAAACCTCGTGCAGCCTCTCCAGGGGCTGTGTTTGAGTCCCAGTTCACCCCAGTCCCTGCACACCGGGCTCTCCCCCTGCATGGATTTTATGATGAAAATCCAACAGATCCAAGTCCCAAGCATATCCAAATTGAATGAGGTGCTCCAAGTACATTACCTGAAATATTTCCCTTTTTTCTTCTTTTTTTGGCCGTTAACAGAGGTTTATGGGCCGTGCCCAAGCACTCCTTTTTGTTAATCTATAAAATGAAAAGGGAGAAATCACATAAATCAATAACTGAACTGCAAGTTTCAGTTTTTGACTTCGTGGGTACTTTGCATGAAGAGGGAACAGGAAATCTGAACCAAGTTTTCTGCCACATTTCCAAACAGCAGCAATGGGATCTATCAGATTAATTCCACTTCCACTAGGCAAATACAAGAATAAGCGAGTTTTAACCACACAGGCATTTCACAGAGGATGTGCACCTTCAACATCATGCAAAGGCTGTTTAAATACCCCTCTCTAGAGCCAGAATTCCTCCCTTTTTTTTTTTTTTTTTTTAATTCCAAATCCTGGTTGGTATCTGAGGTAGGATTATTACAAGAAACACTGCAAATTATGCCATGATGGCTCTATGACATTAAAGCATCGTGTGGGGTCAAGAGAGGACCTGAGCTGTCAAGCTAAAAGGAAATAACCCAGCAGACAGATCTGTTTTGTAGTCAGTCTTCGAGGGGAAAGGTTTGCAACCTAAATTTGCTGGGGAGGTCAAATCCCAGTGTCCCAACCTGATGCAGTAACAACCCTGCCAATATAATGGCAAATGTTTTGTGTTGCTGATGATGGAAAAAGCACCAGGAATCGTTTTCATCACCACACCCCTCGTGTTGACATAATTAAGGAGAGGGAGCCTGCAAGGAATTACTTGGGATTTTCTGGGGGGAAACATTAGACCCAGATTTGTAAGCCACAAAATAGCTTATTCCTTATTTGTAGGCGGTGGAAAATGGGCATAATGAGGGGCACACTGAGGGAATGCACTTCAGGACTGTCTCTGCTCAGAGTGGGATCATTCTGTGCTTCGTGGATATTTATTATGATGGGTAACAACACCATGCAAAATGCCCTCAAATCAATGCTCTCCACAGGCAGGCAAGGCAAGCAGAGAGAGTCCCCTGAAATATCCTCTTTGTCACAGATTATTTTTACAAGTCTTAATATAGAGAAAAAAATATCACAGTATCTTCCTTTCCTCATTTAAACAACGTGGCTCGCAGAGCTGTTCATGTTCTCCTGGTGATGTCACAGGCCACAAGAATGAATGAGGGAGCAGGACTGAGAATCTGAGAGGTAAAATCACAGCTCAGAAATTCAGGATCTTGGCGTTCAGGACATAAATGCTTTATCTCCCTATCTTGGAACCAGCCCCAACACTGATCTCAGCATTTGAAATCTCCCACCTTTGAAGTTAAAATTTCAAATTTAATGTGCATGCTTCCATGTATAAAACCATTATACTTCCAGTGTGCAGTAAATGTCTCATTTTAATAATTCTAATCTACCCAGTCAACTCCGATGTTTCAATTCACAGGAGAAAAAGGCTCTCAGCTGATGAGAATCACAGAAAATAAGAGGGGTGTAAAGAGTACATCAGGATTAATTGACTGTTCTTTTGCACTCTTCCCGTGGTGTCACCAGTATTTGTTTTAATTTGAAATATTCTGATCAGCCAAGGCTTTTAAAGCACCTCCATCACCCAGTGCCTCCAAATAACAGCCATAAGCATCACTAATACCTGGCTATTTTAAAAGAACAGCTGTTCTAGCTCTGCTTTTATTTATACTAATGTTAATTATGAGACTCACCATCGCACTATGTGGAGCAATACAAGTGTAAAACCAGGATATGGAAAATTAGAGTAGAAGAGACTAAAACACAAGGGTGTCTCTGGTAGCAAGAAATAAATGATTCTCCTAATTGAAAAAAAACCCCCATCCCTCAATCTGCTTCTGTTTTAAAAAGCATAAAAACGCCTGACAGGAATGTTCAGGCACAAACTGAAGTCATGAGGAACCACATTCTATGGACGTGGAGCTGATTTTTTTTTTTTCCATGGAAGTGGCTTTAGAGCATAAATGACCAGTGGACTCTGCTTGGAAGCTTCATGAAGGTTCCTCCATCCCCCAATAATAAACATTACCCAGAGATGGCAAAAAAAGGCTCATTTCCAACCCTTTGCTCCTCCTCCTCTTCTTCTTCTTCACCACTTGCTCCTGCTGGGAGGGGGCAGAGGGAGCTCCTTTCCAGCCCTGGCTCCAGAAGCCAAATCCTCTCCAGCAGAACTGTGCTTTAAACTTCCCTCCAGCTGGAAGGCAGCTAAACAGGATTATGCTGATTGCCTGAAAGGTAGACAGCTACCCAGTCATTCCAACAGGAAAAGGAAGAATTCCATTTTTAAGTCAGCCCAGAGCAGAGTTAATGTTTCCTCTCCATTTTTCGGTTGTGACTCGATTTAAGGCATGGAAGAATAAGACTTGTAGTAGAATCAGTCTCTGATTTTGTGTTATGTCAGCCTCACATTTCTCTAAAAATATTGTAGAGAGGGTAAAAATACGAAGGAAAGTGATGTTTCTATTTTTGAATAATGGTCTTAAGATGGTGCTGAAATGCAGTGGGAAAGAAAAGATCCTGAAAAATTCTTGCTGTTGAGGCAAAATCATTTTTTCTTGAACTGAATATATCCTCTGCTTTATTGCCAAAGACTGGATCTGGGCTCTGGGATATGCAATATCCTGGAAGCAGAGCAGCGTGTTCTGAGGCACATCTGGGGAGTGGTTTCTTTCAGGATGCTGAAGTTCAGCCATGGAACCTTTGGGCACCCCACTTGAACTTCAATCTCTGCCACCCACGGGGGTCAAATTCCCTGGGGAGCATCACGGGGCAGCTGCTGCCCATTCGAGCCAGGTTCTGATTTTCACAGAAATCTCCCCTTCCTTTTTACAAGTCAGGTTTTACTGCTGCTGTTCTTGTGCTGCAAATCAGTGTAATATCAAATAATCTCCTAAACACGAAATGATCCCACATAGACAGGCACTTCCTGGCTCTGCAGGGCACTGTCTGTCAGATAGAGCATTTCACAGTGATAGATGGGGCAGTTTCTATCTCCATCTGTAGGTTAGAAGGTCTTAGAGCAGCATAAATTTGGGCTTTAGAGACATCAAATCCAAGCC